AAAAAAAGGAGGGGGGGGGGGGGGGGGGGGGGAGTGACACTTAAAGGGTTAAAGGCGCTATAGAAAATAACGATGAGGTTAATAAAGGTTATTATTATTATTATAAACGAGTCAAAGCGCTCGGCTCCGTGGTTCCGTTGACGCAGGGTTTAACATGTCCTATAAGTTGTGTGAATATAGTCTAGTTGTGCTCTTGTGTCTGCAGATATCACCACAAACTCAAGACGGATGCTTGTATGTAAGAAGTGTTTGGGTTAGAAAGGTCAGCTAGAAGAAAACCCAGTGATCTATTAGCAACAGCCGCCAGTTGGAGAAACCGTAGCGGTCCACTGACTATAGTCAGAATGGACACACAAAAACCAACACAGTCTCATGAAAGTGCGTATCTATACCACGAATGTCATTTCTCGTGCCATTTATATGCCAAAAATGGTTTTTGCGTGCATATGCTACGCACTGAAAACCCCTTGGGTAGGTTTAGGGGGGAGGGGGGTGGGGTGTGCGTGCATATTACACGCCATAAAGTGCGTATCATATGCACGCGAAAACTGCGTATCATATAGACGCAAAAAACATTTTTGGCGTATAAATGGCACGAGAAATGACATTCGTGGTATAGATACGCACTTTCATGAGATCGGGCTCACAAAAACCTAATAAGGAAATACGCATGTGGTTTAGTGTAAATAGAGGATCTCTGTAAACTTTAACAAACAGCCCTTGTAAGGCATGTGAAGATCCTCATCTGTCCGCATGTATGTCGGCACAGAATGCGTTTTTGCAGTTTAGTGGAATTGAAAACCGTGTTCTGTGTGAACGGTCCCTTATTTTAATGCTGTCGGAAATGTCCAACTTCCCACTTCTGACATCGTGATTTCAAGCTTGTTGCTTTGTTTCATGGAGGACAGCAGGATTATTCTAGCATATTTATTGGTCAAATCTTATTAAACCAAGCGCCGCATTAATTGACAACCATGTAAACATTCACTGCGGTAATTTCAGTCAAATGCAGGCTTTTTAGATGATATGCAGAATCAGTTACTGTGGATGAACTCTGAAATTACTATAGGAGACCAACCACTTTTGTGGAATATATGTATTCAAAATGGTTTAATTTTTGTGAATGACTTCTTAGATACATCTGGTCACTTTATTTCATTTTATGATTTTTCAATACAATTTAATGAATGTTTGGATTTGTATCGATTCAATCAGATTGTCTCAGCAATTCCAATTGGCTGGAAACAAAAAATACAAAATAAACACAAGCAATTGGTTTGTCTCCCAAAAGTACGATGTAAAAAATGGTTACATAATATAAAAATAAATAAAATAATTTATAATTGGAAGTTATATCCTGCAGGATTTGCACTTTTTCCTCACAAAGTCTGCCAATACTGGGAAGATGAAATGCACCAATTCCATGGAAAGAATATTTTAGATCAATTTATAACACTACAGTAGATTCATATTCAAGAATATTTCAATTGAAAATGTTTTACAAGATAATTGCAACTAAAAAAATGTTATATTTATACCACATTGAAAATAATCCATATTGCAGATTTTGTGAGGAAGAAGAGGAAGACATATGGCATTTATTTTACTTTTGTCCATTTGTATATAAATTCTGGTCAAGTGTCCAAGTTTGGTTAAAGACGGCGAGAATAGAACTTATAACACCACAAACTATTGTACTTGGTCACTTTACAGGTAGGTTTCTTTTGTTAAATACCATTTTATTAATAGGGAACATGTTTATTTTTAAAACAAAAACATCATCAAGCTTGTGTTTAGGTCACTTTAAGAATGTTATAAGGTCTCATCTTCATTTAGAAAAGATAATGGCAGAAAGCAAAAATAGATTGGATGAATATAATAAAAAATGGAATAATATTCTATGTGTATTATAATTATATGAAATCTTGTAGTTTTTTTTTTTTCCTATCTCATTCATATCATATTTATTCTTCTGTCGTAATATATTTTGTAAAAGTGTTTTTTTTTTTTTTTTTTTTTTTTTATGTTCTGGGGTATGAATGTGAGGATGAATGTATAAGCATGTAGAGTTTCTGTAGATTTGGTCTGTAAATTATATTTCTTATTAAATAAAGATGAAAAAAAAAAAAATGCAGGCTTTTTTCACTGTGTCTAAAACATATAGGCCTGGTTTCACAGACAGGGCTTAGATTAAGCCAGGATTAGGCCTTCAATTAGCTTTTATAAACGTGCCTTAGGAAAAACATTACTGATGTGCGTCGTGAGACAAAACTATGGCACTGATATATTTTAAGATATGTCAATGCTAGTTGCTTTGCTCAAACATGCATCATTATGGGCTGTCCAACTCCAGAACTTGGGTATCAAAATTATCCCCAAGTTTCCCAGTGGTAATTACGACTTGAGAGAGCGTTTATGTCCAGTTTTTAACTAGGAAACTTGTATTTACGATCATTGATAACGCTGTCAAGAGTGAGACGCGAGTGCAAAAGTTAAAGTCCCCCTGTAGTCAATCATTTTATCTCTTAAAACTCATCTTTGATCAGCAAAATTACATCTTTAAACGTTTTTCCTTGAAAAAATATATATTTATGCCTTAAAATATCTTGAATGTAACTCGACACCCTTGCCTCATTTAGTATACGCGGCTCTATGAATATACAAATGAGCCCCGCCTCCACTCACTCACTCAGCTCAGAGATCCACTGGTTGACGATCACACGTTGATCTGATTGGTTACAAGGTCGTTTGTGACGTCAGAAACACCAGCGATTTCAAACCGTGTTTTTGAGACTGTCTTTGGTTCACTGCAGTTTTAAGGAGGAAATACTCAGCAATGCTGTCGACTTATGAATTTACACATGGTGTGTCTTAAAGCATATTAAAAACACCACATACACATATAAACAACATTAAAAACTGGATTTTCACCACAGGGGGACTTTAAACACATCCATCTAGCATGTGATTTTAGGGCTTATTTTATTTTTGATACGATACCGATACTTTCAAAGGCCAGTAACATCAATATCAATACTGATACCGCTAAACTGAACTTGTAAACTATTACATTTATTAAATGAGCTAAGTGTAAAATGGGTAATAATTATGTTTTTATTTGAAATTTGGAAATCTGTTTACACTGTACATAACACAACACAAAACATGTTAACTTTTTATAATACAATAAAACATTCACAGACCTATCACAGAAAAAGATACCCACTTTTAAAAGGGCTTTTAACATTCAATATGCCTTAAATGCAATTTATTAATTACGTTTTTGTTGACACATGCATATGTTTACTAGTGGTAACCATGGAAATCTACAAATACTATAGTTAAAATACAGCAACTGTAGTAAAACCATGGTTCATTTTCATATTGTGACAGGCTATTGCACCCATAAAATGCAACTTTTTTTCAGACATAGTATGATTTAACATTATAGAACATGATCATTATGATTATGAACTATATCGTTAGTTCGTAGGCTATAGTTAACGTTCAATTTAAACAAATTTAATTGCAAAAGCAATGTAGGCTACAATTTAAATTTGTAAATTGTGAAATAACTCAAACATTTTGTGTTTTTCTGTCCTCTGATGAGCATTATTCTGGGCTGCGTTTCCCAAAAGCATCGATGGTTTCTTATAATCTATATTAATTTGAGCATCGCCTACTTTCGATATTCACATTAGTAAGCATTTCAATAGGCTACTTCAGTATCGATACGAACATTCCTAGTGGAAAACAATGGAAAAGAAGCTCAGTGGAACGAAAAACGCGTTCTGTGTGAACGGGCGCTTGATTTACAGGTCTGATGTATGAGAGATGTTGACGATTGCACAATGGAGAGAGTAAAGTTTGAAGTCTCTGTTAAACTGCATCCTTGTCGTCGTTACTTACCTTACTTTATAACATCTGCACAAATAACTGAGTTGATGAAATCATACAGTGTTTCTGAACATAAAAACTCTTGGAACTCTTGATGTTGTAATGATACAGATAAGATCAGACCACCAATAGAGCGCCATTTGCTGGACAAACTCATTAAAAAAACAAAATATAAATTACAATTTGGGTTGATCGTTGATACGAGTGTTTTCATTAATAGCTTGTTGATGTCTCGTTGACACTTTTTAAACCTATACAACATCAATGTTGTATCAAATAAGCGTCCACGTAGAATGATTGACAGCTGAGCGCGTTCTCGTGGCATCATCTCTCGCGCGCAGGTCACTGTAGTGTCCGGCAGGTGGCGCGCTTCGCCGTCATTTTACTCTTTTTTTTTTTTGTCTCAATCAAAATAAAAAAATCTATTTGGCATGCTTGCTTTGCCAACATGTCAACATGCACAGATAACATTATTAAAACATTAAATAGAACAGAATTGACACACAATTGAATACAGCCACTTGAGAGATGTGCACGAGACAGGAATAAGTGCACTTAAAAATCCACACTTGGGTGAAGTGCACGTCTGTAGTGTGCTAGACTGATGTCTTTAGGGTGTAGTGCATCTATGAGTATTTTGTATACATTTGCAAATGCTTTTAAACACTTGATTGATGAAATTGCGTCATCTGTTACTGAGGAACTACTAAACAGACATTTAGACGTTTATTTTAAAGTGAAACTTAAACATCTAAAAGTGCACATAAAGCTCTGTACAAACTACTTGCATTGCTTGCATCAAAAGTTATGCACACTTGAACACTTGGGCCAAATACAGGAAATGCAAAGACTGCAAGTGTGTGTAATGGGAGAAACCCACAAAATTGCAGATTTTTCACTATTATTTCTGAGATAATCTTTTCACATATCACAGTCGTGCTTTGCTTAGGCAAAACAAACCATCTCTCCAATAATGTTCTTAGAAGAAGACAAATAAAGCGTTCTGGCATTTGAACGGTCACGTGTTTGAGCCGCTCTGCCCCGCCCATGTCATCGCCGTGTGACGCTCGCGGCCGCTCTAGGGTGCGCGCTTTCTTCTGCACTTGAATGCGGAAGTGGAAAAACGCTTCCTTCTCGTTTCCGGGTTCCGCCTCGCGCACAAACGGAGCGACAGATCACTAGTACCGGGAGCTCACCGGCTCTTTAACCACTCGAGATGGCCGCTCGGTTACCGGCATGTGTTGTGGATTGTGGCACAGGGTGAGTTAACAACACAATCTGTCCAGTGCTAACGAAAACCGGCGCTACACGGGCGCGCGCGCTCGCTCGCGCTCCTGCACGGATAACATTCTCTTACTGTATGGCTGTTTTCCGTTTATCAGCTGCTTGTTTGGATTTTGCGATTTGGGCTTTTTCCAGCACATAGATGCGCAAATGACTGTCATGAAATCAGTGTGTTTGAGCTGATTGTGTGATGCTGAGATTACAGGCGCGCGGAAAGGCGATAAAACGCTCCGCTTTTTCTCACATATGACATTTGTGTTTTGTTCTTTTGCGGAGAGGACCGCCTAACATGATTATATTGATGATGAAAATTTAAAACTAAAGGTGTTTGAAGAGTAGGTTAAAATGATTGAATATGTTGTCTTTTCTTTTGCGCATGCGCTCAGCTGCTTCCTCTTCCTCAACTTCCGTATTCTTGCTGCGGCCTTATATGGGCAAACAGAGAAAAACACGAAATCCTGTAATATCTAATATCCATAACCTGTATCATTTATCAATGCTGGACATTGACGAATGTGTAAAGTATTATAACCGCAAACCTGTCTCTGTTTTGTTTCTGTGATGTTGTAATTGATCAGAACAGATCGCCAGTGTTAGGTTAGTTTGACATGTTGAGACATGAAACATTCTCCGATCTGTGTGTGTGTTATTTATTAATTGACACATTTTTAAAAATAGGTTTTTAAATGCAACAGGGTTCGTGTGTTGGTCGTAAAAACAGTCCGTGTGTGAGATGTGATCCTTCAGAGTGTGTTCATAAATCAAAAATATTTTATTCTTTAAAATCACAACTCTGAAGGAAGTGCACATCATAAAGAAATATTATTCAGACTTTCAGAATTAATTATTCATAAATGGGACACGCAGTGTTTGATTTATTTTGATCTGCTGCTCTCCAACCAGGAACTTAGAAATGAGTAACTGGCGAATGACCATGAGCATTAATGTGTGATTTTTGTTTCAGGTACACTAAACTGGGATATGCAGGAAACACGGAACCGCAGTTCATCATTCCGTCATGTGAGTGTCTGTTCTTCTGTGCCGACGTCTGTATAGTGTTGTGCACATCTGTAGGGGTGTAATGTATGACACTAGTGTACTAGGCTGATGTCTGTAGGGTGTAGTGCTAATGCATGACACTAGTGTACTAGGCTGATGTCTGTTGGGTGTAGTGCTAATGCATGACACTAGTGTACTTGGCTGATGTCTGTTGGGTGTAGTGCTAATGCATGACACTAGTGTACTAGGCTGATGTCTGTTGGGTGTAGTGCTAATGCATGACACTAGTGTACTAGGCTGATGTCTGTTGGGTGTAGTGCTAATGCATGACACTAGTGTACTTGGCTGATGTCTTTTGGGTGTAGTGCTAATGCATGACACTAGTGTACTAGGCTGATGTCTGTTGGGTGTAGTGCTAATGCATGACACTAGTGTACTTGGCTGATGTCTGTAGGGTGTAGTGCTAAATGCATGACACTAGTGTACTTGGCTGATGTCTGTAGGGTGTAGTGCTAAATGCATGACACTAGTGTACTTGGCTGATGTCTGTTGGGTGTAGTGCTAAATGCATGACACTAGTGTACTTGGCTGATGTCTGTAGGGTGTAGTGCTAAATGCATGACACTAGTGTACTTGGCTGATGTCTGTAGGGTGTAGTGCACATCTGTAAGGTGTAGTGCTGATGCATGACACTAGTGTACTTGGCTGATGTCTGTAGGGTGTAGTGCTAAATGCATGACACTAGTGTACTATGCTGATGTCTGTAGGGTGTAGGGCACATCTGTAGGGTGTAGTGCTAATGCATGACACTAGTGTACTATGCTGATGTCTGTAGGGTGTAGTGCACATCTGTAAGGTGTAGTGCTAATGCATGACACAAGTGTACTATGCTGATGTCTGTAGGGTGTAGGGCACATCTGTAGGGTGTAATGCATGACACTAATGTTCTAGGATTATGTCTGTATATTTTGTCAAAAGTAGCGACTTCGGTACCAAGGCGGTACTGAAATTTAAAAATGTGTCACGATATCAGGATTTCCCTCTAGCATTTTGAGCGCCGTTGAACGGACTCTTAAACACTTCTGATTGGCCGTTGTGTTGATGATGAGGTGTTTAAGAATCCGCTCAATAGCATTGATGCTGATATCGTCACATTTTTAAATGTCAGTACCGACTTGGTATCGAAGTCGGTACTTTTGACAACTCTGTCTGTAGGGTGTAGTACACATCTGTAGTGTACTAAGCTAAAGTCTGTAGGGTGTAGTGCACTAGGCTAAAGTCTGCAGGGTGTAGTACACATCTGTAGTGTACTAAGCTAAAGTCTGTAGGGTGTAGTGCACTAGGCTAAAGTCTGCAGGGTGTAGTACACATCTGTAGTGTACTAAGCTAAAGTCTGTAGGGTGTAGTGCACGTCTGTAGTGTACTAGGCTAAAGTCTGTAGGGTGTAGTGCATGTCTGTAGTGTACTAAGCTAAAGTCTGTAGGGTGTAGTGCACGTCTGTAGGGTGTAGTACACATCTGTAGTGTACTAAGTTAAAGTCTGTAGGGTGTAGTACACATCTGTAGTGTACTAAGTTAAAGTCTGTAGGGTGTAGTGCACGTCTGTAGTGTACTAAGCTAAAGTCTGTAGGGTGTAGTGCACGTCTGTAGGGTGAAGTGCACGTCTGTAGGGTGAAGTGCACGTCTGTAGGGTGAAGTGCACGTCTGTAGGGTGTAGTGCACGTCTGTAGGGTGAAGTGCACGTCTGTAGGGTGAAGTGCACGTCTGTAGGGTGTAGTGCACGTAGGGGTGGGCGATATCTCGATATTTAAAATATATCGAGATATTTTTTAAACACGATATGGATTTTGACATATCGTATATATCGATATATTGTTTATTTTTAATCCTGATTTCGCCACTTTGCTTGTTTGCCTTCTCTGTGCTGTGCTCGCCCCCGCCTCCTTGCTTTTGTTCCCCCTCACCTCGCGTGTTGTCTCATTCAAAAATTGTCTCATCCGCAACCAGCCCGGAGGCTACAGAACTCCGAGTGTGTCTGCGCGCGAGCGACAGAGCACGAGAGAAACCGAGTGTGAGCATTAATTGCATTAGTAAATTGGTAGCCTACATACTACAATATATAATTACTATATAAGAGGCATGGAAGTTCGATTAATGGACTCCAGTAATCAGAAGGCTACTACAAACGTCTTGTTTTAAACTATTGCAGGGCTCGAATTTCGGCGCGGGTATTGCGCATAATTCTAATCATTCCCGCAGGTCTCCCATTTATAATGCAGGAAATTCCCGCAATCGTAATCCACACAGATTAATCGTAATCCACACAGATTATAAAATCAAATCATTCTTTTAACAACTATCTGCCAGACGCAATTTCACAAACAGCGTGAGTGTTCAGCGGTGCCGCGTCTTCTTTCTCTTCTCTCATAATGTGTTGTGCAAGGCAGGCATCAAGCGCTGCGGCCATAACATACACTCGCGTTTAGGAGTCGGGACATGATGGATATTCACTCGCACAATCGGGCCAGCAGTTCATCGTGACTGAAGTTTACCATTTGCACGTCTTTTCAAGTCTTACCAGTTTAAACATTCAAGCGATTTTAAACTAATCAGTGCTCGCGCGCTCTCTGAGAGATTATTTTCTATGCGCACATTCATAGAAAATCCGCCTTAAGAACAGCTGGCCAGTAACAAAAGTTATTTTTCGCGGATTATATTGCTTTAACACGCAAAATTGTCAATTTCGGTCGTCGTGAGTATACTCTAAACATAGTCGGTTTTGTCTTTAATAAGCATAAAACGCATGCCAGTATAATGAACACAGGATCCGTGCACTAGCTCTTAAAGTGACGGCAGCCATATGTGTCTGTCATTAATTTTGTTGTCAATACAACAAAAGATAGCTTTAAATTAAAGGAATCAGGATTAATAACCTATGCATTTAATTTATTCAGGACTAAAATACTACTGTGTTATTTTCCATTTGATTACATTATTCAGTTTCTGTATATGAATCACGTGATTAATAATGATGACGAAATTCAGGCCCTGTGTTTAATTTTTCTCATTTGGTTACATTCTGTTATGGAAAATTAATTTTCTATTGATTGTAGGCCTATATTTTGAGTTGTATTCACATCCATTTTCCTGTAAAGATATCGAGATATATATCGAATATCGAGATATAGCAAAATATATCGAGATATATTTTTTGCTCCATATCGCCCAGCCCTAAGTGCACGTCTGTAGGGTGTAGTGCACGTCTGTAGGGTGAAGTGCACGTCTGTAGGGTGAAGTGCACGTCTGTAGGGTGTAGTGCACGTCTGTAGGGTGTAGTGCACGTCTGTAGGGTGAAGTGCACGTCTGTAGGGTGAAGTGCACGTCTGTAGGGTGTAGTGCACGTCTGTAGGGTGTAGTGCACGTCTGTAGGGTGTAGTGCACGTCTGTAGGGTGTAGTGCACGTCTGTAGGGTGAAGTGCACGTCTGTAGGGTGAAGTGCACGTCTGTAGTGCACGTCTGTAGGGTGTAGTGCACGTCTGTAGGGTGTAGGGCACGTCTGTAGGGTGTAGTGCACGTCTGTAGGGTGTAGTGCACGTCTGCAGGGTGTAGTGCACGTCTGTAGGGTGTAGTACACATCTGTAGGGTACTAAGTTAAAGTCTGTAGGGTGTAGTACACATCTGTAGTGTACTAAGTTAAAGTCTGTAGGGTGTAGTGCACGTCTGTAGTGTACTAAGCTAAAGTCTGTAGGGTACGTCTGTAGTGTACTAGGCTAAAGTCTGTAGGGTGTAGTGCACGTCTGTAGGGTGAAGTGCACGTCTGTAGGGTGTAGTGCACGTCTGTAGGGTGTAGTGCATGTCTGTAGGGTGTAGTGCACGTCTTTAGGGTGTAGTGCACGTCTGTAGGGTGTAGTGCACGTCTGTAGGGTGTAGTGCACGTCTGTAGGGTGTAGTGCACGTCTGTAGGGTGTAGTGCACGTCTGTAGGGTGTAGTGCACGTCTGTAGGGTGTAGTGCACGTCTGTAGGGTGTAGTGCACGTCTGTAGGGTGTAGTGCACGTCTGTAGGGTGTAGTGCACGTCTGTAGGGTGTAGTGCACGTCTGTAGGGTGTAGTGCACGTCTGTAGGGTGAAGTGCACGTCTGTAGGGTGAAGTGCACGTCTGTAGTGCACGTCTGTAGGGTGTAGTGCACGTCTGTAGGGTGTAGTGCACGTCTGTAGGGTGTAGTGCACGTCTGTAGGGTGCACGTCTGTAGGGTGTAGTGCACGTCTGTAGGGTGTAGTGCACGTCTGTAGGGTGTAGTGCACGTCTGTAGGGTGTAGTGCACGTCTGTAGGGTGTAGTGCACGTCTGTAGGGTGTAGTACACATCTGTAGGGTGTAGTACACATCTGTAGTGTACTAAGTTAAAGTCTGTAGGGTGTAGTACACATCTGTAGTGTACTAAGTTAAAGTCTGTAGGGTGTAGTGCACGTCTGTAGTGTACTAAGCTAAAGTCTGTAGGGTACGTCTGTAGTGTACTAGGCTAAAGTCTGTAGGGTGAAGTGCACGTCTGTAGGGTGAAGTGCACGTCTGTAGGGTGAAGTGCACGTCTGTAGGGTGAAGTGCACGTCTGTAGGGTGTAGTGCACGTCTGTAGGGTGTAGTGCACGTCTGTAGGGTGTAGTGCACGTCTGTAGGTTGTAGTGCACGTCTGTAGGTTGTAGTGCACGTCTGTAGGGTGTAGTGCACGTCTGTAGGGTGTAGTGCACGTCTGTAGGGTGTAGTGCACGTCTGTAGGGTGTAGTGCACGTCTGTAGGGTGTAGTGCACGTCTGTAGGGTGTAGTGCACGTCTGTAGGGTGTAGTGCACGTCTGTAGGGTGTAGTGCACGTCTGTAGGGTGAAGTGCACGTCTGTAGGGTGAAGTGCACGTCTGTAGTGCACGTCTGTAGGGTGTAGTGCACGTCTGTAGGGTGTAGTGCACGTCTGTAGGGTGTAGGGCACGTCTGTAGGGTGTAGTGCACGTCTGTAGGGTGTAGTGCACGTCTGTAGGGTGAAGTGCACGTCTGTAGGGTGAAGTGCACGTCTGTAGGGTGAAGTGCACGTCTGTAGGGTGTAGTGCACGTCTGTAGGGTGTAGTGCACGTCTGTAGGGTGTAGTGCACGTCTGTAGGCTGTAGTGCACGTCTGTAGGGTGTAGTGCACGTCTGTAGGGTGTAGTGCACGTCTGTAGGGTGTAGTGCACGTCTGTAGGGTGTAGTGCACGTCTGTAGGGTGTAGTGCACGTATGTAGGGTGAAGTGCACGTCTGTAGTGCACGTCTGTAGGGTGTAGTGCACGTCTGTAGGGTGTAGTGCACGTCTGTAGGGTGAAGTGCACGTCTGTAGGGTGTAGTGCACGTCTGTAGGGTGTAGTGCACGTCTGTAGGGTGAAGTGCACGTCTGTAGGGTGTAGTGCACGTCTGTAGGGTGTAGTGCACGTCTGTAGGGTGTAGTGCACGTCTGTAGGGTGTAGTGCACGTCTGTAGGGTGAAGTGCACGTCTGTAGGGTGAAGTGCACGTCTGTAGGGTGAAGTGCACGTCTGTAGGGTGTAGTGCACGTCTGTAGGGTGAAGTGCACGTCTGTAGGGTGAAGTGCACGTCTGTAGGGTGAAGTGGACGTCTGTAGGGTGTAGTGCACGTATGTAGGGTGAAGTGCACGTCTGTAGGGTGAAGTGGACGTCTGTAGGGTGTAGTGCACGTCTGTAGGGTGAAGTGCACGTCTGTAGGGTGTAGTGCACGTCTGTAGGGTGTAGTGCACGTCTGTAGGGTGTAGTGCACGTCTGTAGGGTGTAGTGCACGTCTGTAGGGTGAAGTGCACGTATGTAGGGTGAAGTGCACGTATGTAGGGTGAAGTGCACGTCTGTAGGGTGTAGTGCACGTCTGTAGGGTGTTCTGTAGGGTGTAGTGCACGTCTGTAGGGTGAAGTGCATGTCTGTAGGGTGTAGTGCACGTATGTAGGGTGAAGTGCACGTCTGTAGGGTGTTTTCAGGAAGCAGAGTTAAATATAATTCTCATATAGAAGCTGCAGAAGTGTGAGCGTTTAAAAGCAGTTCCCAAAGCCAGTTTCTATCATTTTTTTAGGCTTTTTTTTAGTTAATACAAATTTTTCAAAGTGCTTTTCACCGACTAAAAAAAGTCATTACGATTATCCCATTTCAGTTCTGTTGCGTCAGACGTTTCTATTCGCATTTCAACTCAGTTCACATTTATTTTCACAGTACATATCGTTTCAAATGACTGGACAACTCATTGGTCGAAAGATGTCAAAATCATCTCACAATCTTCACCACATCCTCAAATAACGGCGTTCTTCTTTTCTTGTAGACTCACGTCAGCACTCAGTTCTCTCTTTACTGCCTCTCTTCATGTTTGCCTGTAATCTGACCACTTCTGGCTTCCCATCATGCTTTTCTTCTGTCAGGCATCGCCATTAAGGAGTCGGCGAAGGTGGGCGACCAGGCTCAGCGGAGGATGATGAAGGGTGTGGATGATCTCGACTTCTACATCGGAGACGAAGCCATCGATAAACCCAATTACGCCACCAAAGTGAGTGATGAAACCGGCATGAAAAACTGATTCTGTGGGTTCAAAAGTTTGGGGTCGGTGAGATTGTTTTAATGTTTTAAAAAAAGGTCTCAACTGCATTTATTTGATCAAATATACATAAAAAATTATGAAATATTATTACAATTTAAAATAGCTGTTTTCTATGTGAATATATAGTAAAGTGTAATTTATTCCTGTGATCAAAGCTGCATTTTCAGCATCATTACTCCAGTCTTCAGTGTCACATGACCCTTCAGAAATCACTCTAATATGAGGATTTAATGCTCAAGAAACATTTATGATTATTATCAGTGTTGAAAAACATTTTTTTGCTGCTTCATAATTTTAGGGAAACTGAAAAAATACATTTTGTCCAGGATTCTTTAATGAATAAAAAGTTAACAAAGAACAGCATTTATTTTAAATAGAATCTTTTTTTAACATTATGGATGTCTTTACTGTCACTTTTGATCAATTTAATGCATCCTTGATTCATAAAAGGGAATTTGTTTAAAGAAATAAAAATCTTTTGAGCATTAGTGTAGTTACAAACACGATACAAGCAGGTTCTGGTCCAGTAGTTTGATTGGACAGCGAAAATCAAATTTCTATCCATAATGTGTCAAAATGTCACTTGAACTTCTTGTTTTTTAATCTCATAAGGACTTGTTCAATAAAATCTTTCCAGAAAACGTTTTTAGAATTTTTCATCAAATGTAATTTAAATCTGTTGCACTTTTCTAATTTATTTAGTTTGGTGTTATTTAGTTGTATTTATACAGCACCTGTACAACTGGCAGATAACACACAGCTCTGCTCTTGGTATGAAAATGGCTTTTATTGCTGATAAGGCATTACAATTTATACTTATGGACTGCATAACGCGATCTGACACTCGAATCAGTCATGTGACGAAGGTTCATCATCATCATCAAAGCATATTTTATTAGATTATCCTGGATTTAATACAAGTAGAATGCTTTTTTATTAACTCAAGGACTTAGTAAGATTATGCCTGAAAAGGTTTTGGATTTTTTATCATATGTTAATTTTATCTTGTATAATATGACTTGCTGTTTTTGTTTGTTTGGTTTTTATATGATATTTGTATTTTTGTAATTTAATTTTTGCCATGAAAATATCCTTGGATGCTGACATTACTAAATAAAACCATCATCTGTAGAAAGTGAGAATCCCTTAGAAAGCGTGCCGTTCCTCCAGACGTGTGTGTGATCTCTGAGTGTGTGTGTGTGTGTCCGCAGTGGCCCATTCGGCACGGGATCGTGGAGGATTGGGATCTGATGGAGAGGTTTATGGAGCAGGTGATCTTCAAGTACCTGAGGGCCGAACCCGAGGACCATTACTTCCTGTTGGTGAGTGAAACTCATGTGATGATCTTGTGTTTTAGGTGGACACACTAACACACGTGATAAAAGGCTGCTTTTTCCATGTTAATCAGAGTTTTTGTCCTAACCAGCTGACGATTGAGGCCTAAAAAAAGCTGCTATATGACAAGGTGTACAGCAAACAAGCTAAAAAAAACAGAAATACATTTTTATAAGCTGTCGACCCCAAAAAACAAGCGTTTTTGAGACAAAAGTGGATACATCAGCTTTTTTGTGAAGCGACCTTGGGTTCTTGAAAAGCAATATAAAAAATAAACGTATTATTATTATACAGGCAATTGTGACGGAGCACAACGTGTCTCATTACTCTGAGAATTAAAGGCACAATATGTAGGTTTTTTTCGCCACAAGAGGGCGCAGTTTCCAACAATAACACAGGCGTAGGTTGATGACGCAGGGATGAGCTGAATGATGGGTCACGCTGATGGATCTAATAATGTTTATGGATGAGTGCAAACATTCATGTTTTTTAACATTACAGTGGTATGAAACAGGTCGCGATTGCTAAAGAGACAGATATCACACGCGAGTCCCGCGGATATAAAGGAATAAGAGCATTTAATTCTACCGAACTACCCGCGAGTGCTGGATTACTCACACAGGTCAGTTTATTAGACGAATTAAACTTGTGAGGTAACGCAGCGCTGCTTCACTCGGTCTAACGTTACACTATCACACTAAACGCATTTAAATGTTGGTTGAAAGTTATAATGTTAAACTACGTGTTAGTTCGTTTGCTATACGAAACTAGCAGTAAGCTAGATCAACATTAGAATAACATACTGACCATATTCTAACATTTCATCATGTTTAGCTGTTATATAACATTGATTTGTTTTATGTACATTTGCTCTCCTGTCTAATAAAGCTGTCAAGTCGTGACTCGTGAAGCTCTGTCGAGTCCAAGTTAGCCGCGGACGCTAGCTCTCGGCATCTCACAAACGCCACGCTGATGTTGATCCTCATTTTAGTTCTCCTTGTTTGTCCCAAAGTCTGCTTGCCGTGGTCTATGTGTGAAAGAAACAAGAACTGCGTGCCGCTAAACGTTACGCATACGCAGTTGTCCACGTCTGTCGCCATGGTTACGTCATGGCTACGGCAGTATGAACGGAAACCCAGGAAAGCGCGGATTAGGGCTGCACAACGATTAATCGCGACTAATCGTTTGCAGAATAAAAGTTTTTGTTTACATCATATATGTGTGTGTACTGTGTTAAATAATTATGTATTTATAAATACACACACATGCATGTATATATTTAAAAAATATTTACATGTTTATATACATTTTTATATTTAAAGATAATTTATATTATATAAAATTGTAAATACTTAATATATAAATAGATTTTTTTCTTAAAATTATACATGCATGTTTGTGTATTTATATATACATAATTATTATACACAGTACACACACATATATGATGTAAACAAAAACTTTTATTCTGCAAACAATTAGTCGCGATTAATCGTTGTGCAGCCCTAGCGCGGATATTGCGGCATTGACAGGCGACATTTTTTTCCGGGACGGCCACTTATTTAAAATTGAAATTTCTCTGAAATAAAAAATCTTTGGAGACTTCTGGGATATTGTGAGTACACAACTGCAGGAAATATATCACACTGTGCAAGTGATTTTTGGATATTTTATTACAAAATTCTTACATATTGTACCTTTAACATTACGCCCTCTGGAGGGGAATGTAATCGACGACAGAATAGCTTATCTGACAGAAATATAATATATAAAACTGACATTTGGATATTTGACTATATTTTGCATTATTAGTGCATACTGAGTGTCGGGATCCCACAATTTACCCATTCGTTCCAGCCTCTATCCACTTTTATGTCCTTAAACGCTCGTTTGTTTTGGGGTCGACAGCTTATAAAAATGTATTTCTGGGTTTTTTAGCTTGTTTGCTGTACACCTTGTCATATAGCAGCTTTTAGACATTGTTTTGGTTTTGTTATAAGTCATAAATGACAAGGAGGCAGCTTCTCACAATGCAAAGACAATGGAGACGGTTGGTTGTTTGGAGACGGTGTGAGCGTGGCCTTCAGATTATGACGCGCGTCGCTCTCTCTATCCACCTTATTCCTACGCCCCATGATGCTTTGCGCGAATTATGTGTGTAACTTCCGTTAAGCTGTAAACAATCAGTGAAAGACTCGCTCTATGAACGCAATACGTTACAAAAGTGTAAGGTCGTCAGGAATAAGGTGGATACTATTTTAGAAATGTGTTTTATTTCGGAAAAACAACATGCGAAGTATGAGGATGATAATCTCAGGTACTATTTATGTGTGTCATTTAATGTTAAAAGCATTTAATATGATGTTGAATATCAATATTTTTAGCCTCAGATCTTGTCAATAAATTACAAACGTTCAACTCAATGTGAACAAACAAGTCTATTCTATCCTCCTGAGACCCAGAAAAAAAAAGTTTTTTGAATTTAGTTTTTTTTAGGGCTGTCAAACGATTAATCGCGATTAATCGCATCCAAAATAAAAGTTTGTGTTTACATAATATATGTGTGTGTGTACTGTGTATAATTATTTTTAATACATAAATACCCACACATGCATGTGTATTTAAGAAATATTTGCATACTGTATATAGACTGAATGTAGCCTATATATAATGTATATTTTATATAAATATAAACATTTTATATATAAATAACATATTTTTCTTAAATATATACATGTGTGCATTTATATACAAAATAATTATACACAGTATACACACATATATATTATGTAAACACAAACTTTTATTTTGGATGCGATTAATCGTTTGACAGCCCTAGTTTTTTTTCCATGTCATCCCGCTGTTTAGAGCACAATAAACAAATGGTAAAAAAACACATATATAAAATAATATTTTATTCATACGTTATGCTATGTCCTCTGTAGTGGACGCCAGGACTAAGTTGTTTAAAAAATAAAATGACATGAAATTATATGTATAGGCAAAAACAATGGGATTTTTTTTTCAATCACCAATAAATTTAGGGGTTTCAGGATTTTTTCAACCAAAATTTATATAAAGATTATTCTCAACTATGTTATGAAAGAAATAATGGAATGAATTGATACACCATTTTACTTTTTGCAATATGTGGGTAAAATGGCCATAAATTAATATTCCCATTCAATGCAATGTATCTATACACTGTATCTAATTTGCACATTAATGTGTTTTTGGAGCAACATTTAATGAAAAAAGAAGTGTAATAATTGGAGTAATAATTGGTGACATTTTAATAATAATATCTAATATTTCATAGGAATATTGATGTATAATTTATTTCCATATTCACTTGTTGTGTCTCCCAGAATGCCTGATAAACATGATTTTAGTCCTGATGTCCTCTACAGTGGACACGTTTGAAATCAATGCCCTGTTCTGTAACAAAGTATTTTCTTTATTTGAAACCCCTTAACATTTTCCTGAGATGTTGTTTTATGAAATACAATTTGAAAAAGTAGTCCAATTTAAATTATAATTACAATATATTATCATATTTCCATAAGAATGCTACATTTGATCACTAAATTAATCTCAGACATTTTTAAAGACCAAGGAGAAGTTGTTTTCATGGTGAAACCTCCAAACATGTTTATTTAGACCAGCGCATCACTTCCTGCTCTTGGTTTCTCTGTTGCAGACTGAACCACCGCTAAACACGCCAGAAAACCGCGAGTACACGGCCGAGATCATGTTTGAGTCCTTTAATGTGCCGGGGCTGTACATCGCTGTGCAGGTATACACACACACACACACACACACACACACACACACACACACACACACACACACACACTAGAGCTGCATGATTCTGGATGAATTGAGAATCACGATTTTCTTTGTTTAAAATAGAGATCACGATTCTGAATAGACAACTTAACAAAATAACACGTAATTTAATAGAGGTTCCGACAAAATGTTAATTAATGAAGTCTATTTTTAAAAATATTTAATTAATTTGAAGGAATTATTTAAAAAAGAAAATGAGTTGAGTGAATAATTCAATGACTCACTCATAAAGGCTTTACTTGTTTCATTACTGAATGAATCAGCTTTTTTGAACAAATCTCTTGAATGACATAAATTAAAATGTATAGATTTTAAGTCACGTGTCGCCACCTACTGGTGTAACGGTGTAATTGATACAATCTTTTTTTGAAGGATCAAGTTACTTTCAAAAGGTGATTTACTCTACCCTAGACACCAGTGTTTATATCCGAGCTATAAACTTTTGAGATAATCTGAATGTTTGTAACACAGAAATAATGATACTGTGTGTTTGAAAAGACTTTGTGGAGCTGTTTCATATCTATACATGACAACCGCTCTCTCTGTTCGCTTGTCAAACGTTTAATAGACAGAGCCGAATCATTGTCGTTTAGGAATTAGATCGCGTGGGTGTTTAAATCGAGATCACAATCTTTTTAATCGATTAATTGAGCAGCTCTAAAACACACACACACAAACGGATACATGTCTGTGTTTGGCTGATCGTGTGTGTGTGTTCGTCAGGCTGTCTTGGCTCTGGCGGCATCATGGACGTCTCGGCAGGTTGGGGAGCGAACGCTCACAGGAACCGTCATCGACAGCGGAGACGGAGTTACTCACGTCATTCCAGTGGTACGTCACACACACACACACACACACACACACTACAGAACAATCATTCTCTCAAAAGTGCTGTTTTAATTCTGAATGATTCTGTCCACTTGTGGATTCTCATGTCAGTCCTGAGAGCTGGAATATAATGTGCCATTTTTACATTTGATTTTCAAACATTTATTTAAACTTAAACATTTTTACATTTCAATCTGGATTAAAACGTGCCAGACAAGATATCTGAAGATGTTGTAATTTCTTTATTATAGTTTTATTTTTGTGTCCTTTTACACTTTAGTCTGTTTGAAACTGTTAATATATTTGTATTGTGTATTGTTTTACCTCATTAAAATCTTCAGCGTTCTTTTTGTTATATGGAAAAGTGATTAAACTTGTTATTAGGAGTACAACACTAACTTAATTTAATACCGTGATAAAAGCTTTAGAAATTATTATAGTGATGCGCTGCAAAAAATGATGTTCTTCCTCAGTGTTTCTGGCTTGTTTTCTAGTACAAATATCTAAACATTCTTAAATCAAGATATATTTACTTGAGATGCAAAATGACTGAAGATATTAAGTCTTGTTTACTGAAAAATGTCAAAATGAAGTGATTTTAAAACGAGAAATATCAGGAAAATAATTTTGTTTTTCATTTAAGTTTATTTTTCTGACCCCTTTGGCAGATGTTTTTACTCGTTTTAAGCATAAACTCACTTAATTTTGATACATTTTTCAGAAAACTAGACTTAATATCTTGAGAATATCTTCTTTAGTATCTTGATTTAAGAATGTGGAAAACAAGGCAGAAATACTGAGTAAGAACATCATTTTTTGCAGGATTGAAAATTTGATAGTCACATGATATGCATTTTTCTGAGCGGCGGTTTGTGTTTCCTAATGCGTTTTGATCCTGTTGAAGTCGATCTACATGCTCACGGGACTCAGCAGGACAGCAGGAAAGTTAAAAGTCTCTGCTTTGATTGACAGGCGGAGGGATACGTGATCGGCAGCTGCATTAAACACATTCCCATCGCTGGCCGGGACATCACGTATTTCACGCAGCAGTTGCTGAGGGAGAGAGAGGTGGGCATCCCACCGGAGCAGTCGCTGGAGACCGCCAAAGCCGTCAAGGTGAGTGTGTGTGTGTGTGTGATGATCACACGAGCGTCTCGTCCTCCAGACTCTAGCCTCGTTTACACTGTCAGTCAAATGTGACCCAATTCTGATGTTTTGCTCATATGTGACACAGATCGGATGTGTTCTATGACCGTGTAAACAGGGAAAAAATGCATGCATTCGGATATTTCGAGATGTTTCAGGCCTCGTTCATATGTGGAAATAAATCCGATATGTGCCAATGCGACTGTCATGTAAACGGGCTAGGGCTGCAACTAACGATTATTTTGATAATCGATTAATCGGACGATTATTTTTCCGATTAATCGAAAAATCAATTAGATTTTTTTGTTTATTATAACTAAATAAAACCCTAAATCAGGGTATTTATGTGTAAAAGTGTACTTTAAAATGTGCAAAAGCCACACATTGAGTTTTACAAATATCAATATGTGCATTGTTTTTATTGATAATTGCTGATGGCAAGTTGACAACCATGATTAATGTATAAACAAATTTTTTATATCCAACATATTATGTTTTAACACAATTTTTGTTAAAACGAATTTGCACAGACATGTTGTTCAGATGTGAAGATATAAACTAAAAACATCTAAAATATATAATTAATTTGATTTTTATTTAAAATTAATTGAATTATAAGGATAAATTGATCAAATAAATATCGAAAGACTGAAAACAAGCGTGTGAACGTAGAGCCGCAGTAGATCGCGTTTAAAAAACATTTAAACCTTAATAGTAGACAAATGCTATAAAAGAGAACGGGATGGAGGTACGCATCAAGCTAACGGGCTTGATTAAAAGGACAGGAAAAATGATGCATTAGTGCACAAGCAATGACATTCGTTGACAACGATTTTCATAATCGATTATTATCGATTTTATCGATTAGTTGTTGTAGCCCTAAAACGGGCAGATTGGATTTTCTGAGGCGTTAGGCAACGTCTCCACGGTTTAATGACGAGAGAAACCCCGACGCGCATATGTAAAGGGATGGATTGCCCGACGAAACGTCATGTCGTCTTAGGAGAGGAATGTGCACAAACGTTAACACAACATATTAATGGTTGGCTTGCTCATCCTAAAATTTCGGACCCACTGCTCCTCCACAATATGCTCCCGCCAGTCCTGAGATCTCTCGCACACAGTAACTGAAGCACATGCACAGGCTGCAATGATGGCCCTTTTCGTCCTCAACATTTTTTAAAGAGCATTAAAGAGTCACACATGCTTTTGTTTTATCTCGCTTGGACTACTTTAATTCACTTTATATTGATTACCTCTATCCTTCAAGTCAGGGCTTCAGATGGTCCAAAATACTGCAGCCAGGGGCTCGTAAACGACAACACATTACTCCGATATTAGTGTCTCTTAATTGGTCGCCAGTGTGTTATAGAGTTAAACTCAACATTTTTTTGTTTGTTTTTAAGTCTTTAAATGGTCTGGCACCTTTCTATTTATCAGATCTTTTAAACATGAATAAGTCAGTAAGATGCTTGCGATCCTCTGACAGTATTACACTGTCATATCAAGATCAAGATTGAAGTTACGAGGTGACCGTGCGTTTTCATTGGCCGGTCCTAGGATATGGAAAAGTCTTGCTTTATCTGTGAGGTCTGCATCGTCGAAGTTACAGTCTTGCATTTTATTCATTATAACTTTTGGTCTCTTTTAACTCAAACTTTGTATTGCTTTTTATTACTGTGTTTTTTTGTTGTTGTTTTTTACAGCACAGTGGTCAACTTTTGTTGTGTTTATTTGTGCTTTATTAATAAATGAAATGAAATTATGGTGATATTTGGTGAACTTTGCATATCGCAGAGCTAGCATCAAGCATATTTCGCGTTCGTCCATCTGTGCAAGAACCTATGGCAAGCCGTTTTAGCTTAAATTGTTACCAGCTTTACCCGTCGTAATTGCATTTTTACTAGTAAGAATTCAATTAGAGAGCTCTACAATAACATTTTTACTAGTCATATGTCTCCATTGATATGGCAAGCCGTTTTAGCTTAAATTGTACACAGCCTTACTCGTCGTAATGACGTTTTTACTAGTAAAAATTCAATTAGAGAGCTCTACAATTCAATTCTTACTAGTAAAAATGCAATAAGAGAGCTCTCTAATTCAATTATTACTAGTAAGAATTACAATTGCAGAGCTCTCTAATTCAATTCTTACTACCGGTAGTAACAATTACAATTAGAGAGCTCTTTAATGCAATTGTTACTAGTAAAAACTCATATTCATTAGATGCAAAACGGATTACACCCATTTCTTACTTTTCAAAATAAATTTCATATTAGTGTGGTTAGACGTTTTATACATACATATAGGCCTTTGCATTCATATATATATATATATATATATATATATATATATATTGCATTCGGCTACTGTTACATTATGAAGACTGTAACTAGGGTGACCAGACGTCACGAAAAATTCGGGACAAACCCGAAATCTATGCTGTTGCCCAGTCCGTCCCTAATTATCCCGCAAATTATATGGGATAAGCAGTGGCGTACAACTCGTTTTGCTATTTGTTTATTTAATAACCGAATTTACTTGGGGACTGAGTTCAGAGTTGGAAATACACTTAATTTTCACTTTGATGTAGGCCTACACACATGCATGTATCACAAATATGTCTATAAGCAAAACGTAACATTCACAACACATCTTCGGTACCATTAGCCTAATAAATATATCAAAATACGCAAGATCAATATGAATGCCAGATGAATAAACATGAGGCACGATTATCATAATGAGATGGCACTGAATAGTGAGCTCTCTTTTCCAATTATTACTAGTAAGAATTACAATTAGAGAGCTCTCTAATTCAATTCTTAATTGCAGAGCTCTTTAATTAAATTACAGAGCTCTGCAATTATACATATCTTTAATTTGTTTTTTTACTAGTAAGAATGCAATTACAGAGCTCTCTAATTGTAATTCTTACTAGTAACAATTCAATTGTAGAGCTGTGTAATTAAAAATGAATGGAAGTTAATGGAGACATATGACTAGTAAAAATTAATTTGTAGAGCTCTCTAATTGTAATTGTTAAGAATTGAATTAGAGAGTTCTGCAATTGTAATTCTTACTACCGGTAGTAATAATTGAATTAGAGAGCTCTCCAATTGTATTTTTACTAGTAAGAATTGAATTGTAGAGCTCTCTAATTGAATTCTTACTAGTAAAAACGTCATTACGACGAGTAAGGCTGTGTACAATTTAAGCTAAAACGGCTTGCCATACATTGACTTCCATTCATTTTTAATTAAGGAGCTCTACAATTGATTTCTTACTAGTAACGATTAGAATTAGAGAGCTCTCTAATAAAATGTTTACTAGTAAGAATGCAATTACAGAGCTCTTTAATTGAATTTTTTACTTGTAAAAAATTAAATTAAAGATATGTATAATTGCAGAGCTCTGTAATTTGAATTCTTACTAGTAAAAATACAATTACGACGAGTAACGCTGGGAACAATTTAAGCTAAAACGGTGTATTCAAGTGTAAACGCATGAATCGGATATGGGTCACAATTGAAAGAACATGTAAACAGACAGTAAAATAAAATCTGATACAGGCAACACATCAGAATTGGGCACTAAGACCTGCGGTGTAAACGAGGCCTCTGAGCGTGTGTTTCTGCCGCAGGAGCGCTTCAGTTACGTCTGTCCCGACCTGGTGAAGGAGTTCAGCAAGTACGACACAGACGGATCCAAGTGGATCAAGCAGTACACCGGCATCAACGCCATCAGCAAGAAGGAGTTCACCATCGACGTGGGATACGAGCGCTTCCTGGGACCCGAGATCTTCTTTCATCCTGAGGTTTGTACATGCGCACAGACATCTTTCTATTATTGCTATTAAAGACTTATTAAAGGGGTGGTTGATTATGATTTCACTTTTCTAACTTTAGTTAGTGTGTAATGTTGCTGTGTGAGCATAAACATCTGCAAAGTTACGACGCTCAAAGTTCAAAGCAAAGGGAGAATATTATTTGCTTTTAAAGAAATCATTTTTTAAGGACTACAACAAACGGCTGGGGACTTTTACATTTTTTTTTTTAGTTGCTTTAAACACCAAAACGATACAACATACATTTTAGAGCCAGGGGAGCAAAGATCACACACACACACACACATATACATATAAAAAAATACACAAGCTTCCTCCCGGGCCAGTGACATCACCAACCCTAAAATTTACATAAACCCCGCCCCCGGGAACAATATTAATATTAATATTTCTATTAAAGAACATTATAGTATCTGCATAATAATCTTTGCACTTTTTTTTTTCTTTAAATACATTATCATCGTATCAGCAAAATGTATTATACTTATAATACATTTTGATACGACTTAAGTGTATATATACATTTATATAATTTATATGTATTGATGTTAGTACACAAACCAATTTGAGTACATACAGCAGTGTCCAAAAGTGGAAAATTGACACTCTTTATTAAAATATTATTCAAAAGATTTTCTAAGCATATTGCGTAGTTATGCTTGGAGTCGATTGCTTTATGTGATAATAACATTATGAAACCATTTTTATCCAGACTGTCATACAAAGAAATTATGAACATGCAGAACCAATGAAATATTAATAACTGATTATGTTTTTGTCAATGTATGCTTTTTTTTTGCTTAGTATAGCTCAAGTTTGCCTTTTTTTGCCAAATAATTTTGTCAGATAAATACCTAGCTTAGTGTTTTGTTTATCCCTCATATCAAAAAAATATATATATTTTTCTCATTTTGAAGGTTTAAGGTCATTTAAAAACAAATATCCCCTCTGGAAATCACTTTTGGCCACTACTGTATGTATGTACATATTGAGTCTTGAGTATGTTAAACATGTTTTGCTGATAAGTCCTCGTCGAATGTGTGTAAAAGATTCTCAGGTACAGTACTTAGATATTTTGGCGGGTTGTTCTGTAGGGACAGAGAGTATTCATTTTGTTTGTGCACTTCTTCAAAAATGTCTCAAATTGGATATTAAAAATAGTTCCCAAACCGCACGCTCACACACTCTTGTTTCCTCTTTCAGTTCGCTAATCCAGACTTCACCCAGCCGATCTCTGAGGTGGTGGACGAGGTCATTCAGAACTGTCCCATCGACGTGCGCCGCCCGCTCTATAAGGTCAGTAATGTTTCTCTGTGCTGAAGGAACAGGTTTTCTTAAAGGGATACTTCAGGATTTAGCATTAAGCTTTGTATTAGTAGGAAACCTGTAGTATTATACCGTGCTTTCCACCCTCATATCCCCCTGAGACGAGAGATTTATGTATTTTTTTGTCTGGAAAAAATCCTCCGATGACGCAAAAATCGTCATTTTGCGTCATCGGAGGATTTTTTGGCCAGAGGCTGAAGACTACAGTCAGTAGTAGGAGCTGTCCCGCATGTTCTCAACCCGCCCATAGAGGCTGGGATCGCACTCACAGAATGTACAGATAGTGTCAGACATCTTTTTTTGGAAGCTAAGCTAAGCTAACAGGCTCTTGTTCTGTGGAGAAAGCTGAGTAGTAGGGGTTACCATCCTCTTTTTCCCGGACATGTCCGGCTGTCGATGTCCAGGATTCAGCTTTTGCTTTCTGCAGTCGCCATTCATTGTTTACATTAGGGATGGCCCGATACCATTTTTTTTCAAACCGATACGAGTACGAGTATTTACATTTGTGTACTTGCCGATACCGAGTACCGATACCGATATTTCTACCGCAAAAGTAATAGGCTCCCAGAAAAGAAGACGACTATTTTAGAACAGAGGTTAGAAGACTGTTTTTATTTTCTTCTCTGCTTGTTTTAACAAGTCTAAAAATAAATAAAAATTAGTAAAATAATAAATGTATTAACACACAAACCACTGTTAATTTAACATAAAAGCAAGCAGGCTACTGCGTGCATGGTCTGGCATGACTGAATGCGCGCAAAGTGCGCTCCCTTAATAAATCCTAAAAGCTGACAGTTCATCGCGATCTCACACATCTCTGTTATTATCAATGAAGCTGACTGCACAATCAATCTTTCATAATATCCACACTTTGTTTGTTATAATTAGAGGATTTGCCAGCATACAGAATTCAGCACTGAACAAAAAAGTCCGTTTTAAGCAGTGAGGGGAGTCTATCTTAAATGCTTCTGATTGGCCATTGCGTTCCAGAAATCAACACATATGTCTGTGATTGGCTACATCGCTCAACGCTGTAACCATGTTATGAATAGAAACTCTGGCCTGTAAATCGTTTCTATTTTGTTGTAGTTGTTCTTGTTGCTTTTCTGCAAGAGATGAATAAAAATCTATTAGTTTTTATGTTTTATTCATAGATATTTCTAGTTTGCGGGAGTCCCGCGAATCGTTTTACTCTCCCGCACCCGCACACACAGAGTGAGTGCATTACCGCCCGCGCGCGCGCTCGGCCATCAGATCTATGATGCGTCTTCAGATGTTTAATTAGATTGCTGGTGTTAAACGATGTACTTTCTTTCCCTCCTCTCGACACCTTAGCTGAACATAACTCACAGTCTGCCTTGCTGTTGTCATCACCCCTTATCTTGAAATGAGCCCAAACCGCCGACATTATACTTTCCTATGCCTCAGTTCACCTCGACAAAGCACTCGCGGCGGCCAGTTTCGTTTTGCAAAATGTACGTGGTATCGGTGCGTGGTATCGGCGAATTTTTATGAGTACGAGTACGAGTATATTAGGACAGTATCGGCCCGATCCCCGATGCCAGTATCGGTATCGGGCCATCCCTAGTTTACATGCACACCTTTTGTTTCAATCTAACTGAATTCATTCCGATTGGTGAATCTGAATGTAGTGTTTACATGAACGCTAAACAAGTGATCGGTTGATGTGCGTTTTAACATTGCTAAGAAAATTCCCGCTCCTCCGTGAGAGATACGAGACCGGTGCGTCTCACAGGTGTCGCTCATCGGTAATCACGCCACCGGCCTCGTCCTGCTCGCCACAGTAAACATGATGAATGGCGACTGTAGAACGCAAAAGCCGAATCCCGGACATTTTGGGCGATCTCGAAACAGCCTAGACTTGTTGTTTAACTACTGCGCTCTGTTACCGGTAGGCGTGGCCTCCTAGGGCAGTGAAGCAAGTGCATTCTGGGAGTTGTTGTCTTTCATCCACATAAGCCAAAAATACATTTTCTGGCTTTTCTCAGTCTAGAAAGCTCCAAATTCAAAAATAATTTCACATTTCTTCTACATAAATGACCAATTTTAAATACACATTCATCTTTCCAGAGGTGAAGTATCCCTTTAAGCTCAGATCAATTCATAGTTTTCCGTCATGTGACTGGTACGGAGAACTGGAGGCCAAAACATCCATAGAACTGCACAATTTTCCATCTCAAAAGAACAAAAAATATGTGAACAAAATACAAGTTTTGGGCACTTGTGATCCATATACCGTAAGCACCCGCTGCCGTATTTCAGTCACTAAAAACAGCAGGACATGCTAAAACGCTTCACGTTAAAATCACTTCAAGTGCCTTAAAGGGATAGTTCACCCAAAAATGAAAACTCTGTCAGTAATTACTCGCCCTCATGTTGTTCCCCGTAAGACTTTCGTTCATCTTCAGAACACAAATTAAGATATTTTTGATTAAATCTGAGAGCTGGATCACTCCTCCATAGGCTTCTTAAGGGATTGAAACTTGCCGGCCCAGAAAAGTTATTAAAGACATCATTAAAAGAGTCCGAGTGACTACAGTGGCTCAACCTTAAGTTTATCAAGCGACGAGAATACTTTTTGTGCGCAAAAAAACAAACAAAATTAACGACTTTATTCAACTCTTCATTTCCTTCTCTGTGGGCCTCGAGTGAGTTCATGTAGTGTAACAGCGCAGCTTGGTGAATCTGAATCCTGAATGTAGTGTTTACATTTTCTGGCTTTTCTCATTTTAGAAAGCTCCAAATTCAAAAATAATTTCACATTTCTTCTACACAAAGGGATACTTCACCTCTGGAAAGATGAATGTGTATTTAAAATGGGTCATTTAACTCTAAATTCGCCCTTCCACAATTTAAGGCCTTAAAACGGTCAGAGCAGAAAGTCTTAAATTCATAAAGTCATGCATTAAACTGCAAAAAAAAAAAAAAAAAAATGTCGTGTTCTAGTACAGATATCTAAATTGTAGATGTGTTTACTTGAGAAGCAAAATTCAGAAAAAATTAGAACAATTTGCCAATGGGGTTAGAACAATATTTTTCCCTTTTGAATTAAGATTATTTTTCTGACCCCTTGTTTAAACAGTTTTCATGAATTTTTTCAAAAAGTGACTTTATCTTCAGTCTTTTTGCTTCTCCAATAAATGTATCTTGATTTGAGAATGTTTAGATATTTGTACTGGAAACCAAGAAAGAACATGATTTTTTGCATTATGATCAGAAAAGTTTCCATATTCTAGTGCGGGGGAGCAGAGGTTTTCAAGCCTTCAGCTTTTTCATTTTTGTAAAAGGAATTAAAAAGTAATGTAAATCTGTTGCAAATTGTATTTTCTAACTCTAAAGTGTTGCTAATACAACTCAGTTGTGTTTCTTCCTAGAGATTTACATTTAGAGAACATATTGATGTGTTCTGTTCTATTCGGGTTATTCCTTAAAATTGATTAATTAGTCTTAAAAAGGTCTTTATAAAGTCTTAAATCTACTGTTATAAAACCCGCAAAAAAACTCAGATTTTGACATTTTGTGTTTCAAATTTTCTTTACTTTTAGACTTAAAGCTTTATAAAATACCTTTTTAAGACCATCATTACACTGCAAAATAATGTTCTTTCTTCCTCAGTATTTCTGTCTTGTTTTCCAGTACAAATATCAAAACATTCTTAAATCAAGAAACATTTACTGGAGAAGGAAAATGACTGAAGATATTAAGTCTTGTTTTCTAAAAAAAAAACATAAAAATGAATTGAGTTTTTGCTTAAAAAGGAGAAGAAAAAAAATCTGCCAATGGGGTCAAAAAAAAATCTTGCTTTCACTTCGAATTAAGTGTTTTTCTGACCTCAATGGCAGATATTTGTTCTTGTTTTAAACACTTAATCAGTTAATTTTGACATTTTTCATCAAACAAGACTTCATATCTCCAGTCATTTTGCTTTTCCGGTCTTGATTTATAAATGTTTTGATATTTGTACTGGAAAACACGACAGAAATATACTAAGGAAGAACCCCTTTAGTGCAGTGTGTGTGTAACCTGTAGAAAGCCTCTGTGTGTGTAAACACGTGTCCTCTTTTGCAGAACATCGTTCTGTCGGGCGGCTCCACCATGTTTCGTGACTTCGGCCGGCGTCTGCAGAGAGACCTGAAGAGAACGGTCGACGCTCGCCTGAAGCTCAGCGAGGAGCTCAGCGGAGGAAAACTCAAGGTCCCGTTTAAACATCTACTTCAGCGTCGGTGTGTTTAGAATGAGAAGTGAAATAAAAAACTCAATCTCCTCTGCATCTCCTCTGCTCTCACAGCCGAAACCCATCGACGTTCAGGTCATCACCCATCACATGCAGCGATACGCCGTGTGGTTTGGAGGATCCATGCTGGCCTCGACTGTGAGTCACACACACACTCACTCAGACACAGACACACTCACTCACTCACTCACTCACTCACTGAGACACACACATACACAGACTCACTTACACACTCGCTCACAGACACACACTCACTCACTCACTCACTCATAGAGACACACACACACACACAACACACTCACTCACTCACTCACTCACTCACTCACACACACACACACACACACACACACACACACACACACACTCACACACACACATACACACACTCACACACACATACACACACTCACACACTGACACACACACACACACTCACTCAGACACACACACACACACTCACAGACTCACTCACTCAGACACACACATACACAGACTCACTCACTCACTCACTGAGACACACACATACAGACTCACTTACACACTCACTCACTCATAGACACACACACACAACACACTCACTCACACACTCAGACACACACTCAGACACACACTCAGACACACACTCAGACACACACTCAGACACACACTCAGACACACACTCAGACACACACTCAGACACACACTCAGACACACACTCAGACACACACTCAGACACACACTCAGACACACACTCAGACACACACTCAGACACACACTCAGACACACACTCAGACACACACTCAGACACACACTCAGACACACACTCAGACACACACTCAGACACACACTCAGACACACACTCAGACACACACTCAGACACACACTCAGACACACACTCAGTCAGACACACACTCAGTCAGACACACACTCAGTCAGACACACACTCAGTCAGACACACACTCAGTCAGACACACACTCAGTCAGACACACACTCAGTCAGACACACACTCAGTCAGACACACACTCAGTCAGACACACACTCAGTCAGACACACACTCAGTCAGACACACACTCAGTCAGACACACACTCAGTCAGTCACACACACACTCAGTCAGTCACACACACACTCAGTCAGTCACACACACACACACTCAGTCACACACACACACACTCAGTCACACACACACACACTCAGTCACACACACACACACTCAGTCACACACACACACACACACTCAGTCACACACACACACACTCAGTCACACACACACACACTCAGTCACACACACACTCAGTCACACACACACTCAGTCACACAGTCAGACACACACTCAGTCAGACACACACTCAGTCAGACACACACTCAGTCAGACACACACTCAGTCAGACACACACTCAGTCAGACACACACTCAGTCAGACACACACTCAGTCAGACACACACTCAGTCAGACACACACTCAGTCAGACACACACTCAGTCAGACACACACTCAGTCAGTCACACACACACTCAGTCAGTCACACACACACTCAGTCAGTCACACACACACACACTCAGTCACACACACACACACTCAGTCACACACACACACACTCAGTCACACACACACACACTCAGTCACACACACACACACTCAGTCACACACACACACACTCAGTCACACACACACACACTCAGTCACACACACACTCAGTCACACACACACTCAGTCACACACACACTCAGTCACACACACACTCAGTCACACACACACTCAGTCACACACACACTCAGTCACACACACACACACTCAGTCACACACACACACACTCAGTCACACACACACACACTCAGTCACACACACACACACTCAGTCACACACACACTCAGTCACACACACACACTCAGTCACACACACACTCAGTCACACACACACTCAGTCACACACACACTCAGTCACACACACACTCAGTCACACACACACTCAGTCACACACACACTCAGTCACACACACACTCAGTCACACACACACTCAGTCACACACACACTCAGTCACACACACACTCAGTCACACACACACTCAGTCACACACACACTCAGTCACACACACACACACTCACAGAGACACACTCACAGACACACAATTTACAGCTACTTACATTATCTTTGTTGAAATATTGGTTTATTGAAATACGAAATATTAACAATTATGTATAATGCATTATTCAGGTATGCATAATGTACACTATAATGCATTATATCTTTTCATAAATAATTGAAACTAAAGTTAAATGCATTATAATAATTGCAGTAGGGCTGTGCAATTAATCACAATTAATTTTTTATTCGATTTTGGCTTTCAACGATTGTGAAAGAGTCGGAGCCGAACGCGGATGAGCAAATAGGCTTCCCGTACACCCCATTGTCCCAATGGATACTTCAAACCTTTTAGCGGCTCAATTTTTCTGATGGCAACTTCAAATTTGGAGCACGACTTGCTTAGGCGTGGCTTTTGATTTTCTAGCAATTTTAGAGTTCAAATTATTTTGTAAAATAGGCATTTCGTAGAAAATAAAAAATGTTTTGTTCAGTACATTTGCTTAACAGTAAACAAAAAAACAACGTTTTTACACTTTCATCAATATTTGGCTTTAAAAAATTCCAAAGCATTCATGAGTTATAGGCATTTCAGTTCAGATCGAAGCTCTTATGGTTTTACCTAGGGCTGTCACTTTACGTTCGAAAAGCGATTGCACAATCGATCGGACCAACCAACACAAGTTTCGAAAACGAAAATAGGGAATCGATTTTAACAGCCTTTTTTTTTAACCAAAAATGTGTTTTAGGTGGACAGATCAATACAGCACACAGAACATGTCGGATGTTGGAAAATAATAATGTGTTTTCTGTTCACCAAATGCTTTTTAATATTCGCTATTACTTCAATGCAAGTGAACAAGCGCGCCGTTATGTGTTGCGTAGTGACGTGTGTGTTCAAGTAAGCCAGAAATGAGCAGATTCTACAATACGCTGTATTTAATATATCATGAGGATCACGAGTTGAGGATTTGCACTAAAGCCGCGCAGATTTGTCTTACACGAACTTCCCCAGCAAAGTGAGTAAACAGAAACACGCCAGATTGGCTCGTGATTTGACAGCGTTTCCCGCCAAAGTTCATTTTCACCGCATTTGGCGGGTCGAGGGTGTTAATCTCAATCCCTGAATGTTGCGCTCCTGTTTGTCATTGTGCTGAAACTTCACGCCAATAAATCATCAGGAATATTGCTGACTTGTGCGTCTCAAGCGCCCTCTTTACGCTCGTCCTAACGCCTGTTAGGTGTCCGTGGATTTGCCTGTATTTGGTGTTGAAAATGGAAACGTCTTTAGACCAAGCGTGCCGCACAAGCCCTGAAAAGTGAAGCCAAAGCGTCTCGATCGCCCCCCGGTGGCCGGTCCCAGTATAGCTCATAAACCCCGCCTCCCCATGTTATTCATCTAATAACCAACTAAACAATTAAATTACACTTCAAATATCATTTTTCCCAAATATGGTTTCTGTCATTTACTGTAGTTTTTATCACGCTGATGTAAGTTCAAGTGTTTATTTTTAAAATAAGTTTGTTTTTAGTTAGTTATTTGATGACGTCATGATTGACAGCTGTGATTGACAGGTGAAGTAGTCACTGAAGCACCAACAGACTTTTTTCGGGATCTCCGGAGGACTGAGGAGATTGGAGCTTTAAATTTAATATCTAAATTTCTATAATTAATTTTAAAAAGTGCAGGAGCGTGTGCTTGCGATTGATTCTGCGAGAGTGAGGGCAGGGCCTTGATTTCGCGGCTTTACTTCCGGCTCACGAAGTAAAGACTCAAGTACAAGATGTCAGCGCCATTTCGGGACACTGGCGGCTTCACTTCTGACCAATGGAAGAGAGCAAAGGGGCGTCGTCCATCTTTTTTTACAGTCTATGCTTTACATTTATTTTACAATTGATTCAATGAACACTTATGTCTCAAAAATCAAGCAGGATTTTTTCACAAAAGTGACAGCCCTAGCTTTAACAGGTTAATGTTTGTTTTGTCTGAGCTGAAATCATGACCATCTGAGAACGTCTGCTGTCGAGGGCTCATCTGACGAGGAATCAGACTTTGCGTGATCACTGAGGTTACAGTTCATTGTGCTGTGAAACATACGCTAACGTTCCTGCGTTCACTGTTACACATTCACATATAAAGAGACATTTGAATGAATAACAGCTTCTTTTATTGCACACGTCGGAGAGAAACCGAGCCGCTGTTTAATGGCCTTATAATAATTAATCAATTAAAATGTCCTGTCTGTGTATCACTGTTTATTGGAGCGTCTCTCTGAGAACTCAATTACACCGATGTTTAGTGATGATCCTCATTACGTTCACACTGCGGGATGTTAAATCAGGATCCCACGGGTCCTTAAAGTCTTCTCAGTTTGATCAAATTTAAAGCCATAAAAAGTCTTAAATGGTGTAAGAAGTCTTAATTATCATTTCAAGAAGTCCTTAAATTTGTGGACCGAAAAACAGGAATCACGATGTGGCTTAATGTGACTGGTTTTTAAATTACAAAAGAAGCTAATGTGCTTTCTAAAAATCTAAGAAATTGGGAAAAAATATTAATATTTATAATAATGAGAGATAAATATAAATATATATATATATATATATATATTTTTTAAATAATATATTTAGCTTTTTAAAAAGAATATTTATAATAATGATATATATATATATATATATATATATATATATATATATATATATATTAATAAATATATATATATATTAATAATAAGATAGATAGATAGATGTATATCTTCTCCTACCAAGGTTGCTTTTTAAAAAAAAAACTGTAATATTGTGAAATATTATTACAATTTAAAACCGCAGTTTTCTATGTGAATACATATATTTAATATTATATATGAATTTTCAGCATCATTACTCCAGTCTTCAGTGTCACATGATCCTTCAGAAATCACTCTAATATGAGGATTTGATGCTCAAGAAACATTTCTGATTATTATCAATGTTGAAAACAGTTGTGCGGCTTCGTAATTTTTGTGAAAACCATGATACTACATTTTATTTTTCAGGATTCTTTGATGTATAGAAATTTCAAAAGAAACAGTGTTTACTTTAAATGGAATCTTTGGTAACATTTATAAATGTCTTTACTGTCACTTTTGATCAATTTAATGCGTCCTTGCTAAATTAAAACATACTGGCCCTAAACTTTTGAACAGTTGTGCGTGTATATATAATATCATATTTAAAATAAAAATAAATAATAATTGCATCCCTTTTCTTAAAAGATTTAAAGGCTAAAATGTGACATTTGTCATCTTTTTGTTTTTGCCGAAAGCTGTTTAAATCATGGTTTAGTTATTTTAAAGTGTAGGATGTTCCCACTTATATGGTATTATGGTATTTTATTTGTGCATACCCTGTAAAACACGATTGTTTGTCTACTTTTCAGCCGGAGTTCTACCAGGTGTGTCACACCAAGAAGGACTACGAGGAGATCGGCCCGAGCATCTGCCGCCACAACCCTGTGTTCGGCGTCATGTCCTAAACCATCACACACACGCGCACACATACACACTTATGGGATGGTAGGGTGCAGATGCAAAAAATGAGAAATACTTTTTCTATTGTTGGTCCCCTCAGAGTAGACACGTGTCCGACGGTGAAAGACCCGACTGCTGGAAACATACGAACACATGTTTTTTTTGTTGATTTGATCCCAGTGTAAGCAACGATACAGCTTCAGTCTTCAGTGAATGTGTGACGGCGTGTAACTGAACTCAGATTGATGATGAAAACTGGACCGGCGTCATTATTGTCATTAAGGGTGTAAAGAATCACATGTTGAACTGTGTGTACGGCTCCATCTTGTCCTTTATTTTAATGTTTTATGACCCTCGACCCCTACCACATTAAAGCAAAGTGTTTCCCGCTATACTTTGATACTTGCTTTCAATCTATCAAATTTGTGACTAAAAGAAAACTTTAAAAAAAATCCCATATACAGGATTTTCTGTCTGTCTGTCTCTTTCTTTCATGGCATTTTAGATACTCAACTGCTTTTACCTTCAGATGTCATTTATTCATGATTGCAGACCAGTCATGTGAACATATTTGAGTGGAATGATGATTGTGCCAGTATTAGCAGAAGCTTGTTTTGATAAAGGCAGATGACACATGGGTGGGATTTATAAGTGTAATGGTGAAACATTCCAATAAAAGCTCATGGTTTCTAATGAACAGGCTCACATGTGTGTTTTCAGCTCAATTTTGTGACGTTCAATAGGTTTAAAACGTCATTCTCCTCTTAGTATCGAGTTTTTCAGGAGCTTGGCCAAGCATTTTAATCTCTCATGATACTTAGGCCTACTGTTAACTACCATTCAAAAGTTTGAGGTTGGTAAGATTTTTGGTCAGAGTGTCTAGAACATAAAGGAAGATATTTTGAAGAATGTTTGTAACCAAACTGTTTGGGGGAACCATTGAATTCCAGTATGGAAAAATATATTATGGAAGTCAGTGGTGCTCCACAACTGTTTGGTTACAAACATTCTTCTAAATATCTTACTTTGTGTTCAGCAGAACAAAAAAATGTATATGGGTTTGGAACAACTTGAGGGTGAGTGTAAATGACAGTTTTCATTTTTGGGTGAACCATCCCTTTGATAAGGTCTCAAATTGTAACCTCAAAAGATATTCATGGTTTTATTTTATTTTTCTGAAATGTTTTAGTTGGATGTTCGTCTAACATTTTTAAAATGTTAAGTGTGTTCATGCCAAATTGTAATTTTCGTAATTTCGAGATGACAACACCCGTCATGTTCTACTCAGAGCTGTTTAACGCTTTTCCATTTTAAATACATACATATAATATAAATTCACTTAAAGATCGTTAGATTTTTATGTTATCAGAAACATCATGTTAAATTATAATCAGCTGCTTCTCAGGCTTTCTTCATATTTAAATGATCTAATTGATATCGCGCTGAATCTCGCGAGAAGTCGATATTCGCTCGTTCAGGCTCGCGGCCGCTCTACTCTACACAGCGTCATTTTACCGATTAAAACCGGGCTGGGAGTGTGTGTGTGTTTAAAATGTGTCAACCCTAATAAAATCAATCATTTTACTTGCCTCGCGAAAACAGATGAGTCGAGGTAAAACACGTAGAATTGCTGCTTAATTGAGTCTAATGAGATTCAGTGTGTTTAGATGTTAATTTTTGACGGTTGGAGTTTGAACGGTCTTGGCTCATTTGAACTTTCCGTCGATGTAATAACTGTGTAAGTTAAGTTATGGGATAATTTTTCCGATTTTTGACCATCATTTTTATAAAAACAGTGAGTCGGATCAGTTACAGCACACTAAAGTCAGAAATTCAGAATTCAAGTTGTCAAATTAAAACATCTGCTGATGTTATTTAAACTAACATAACAGACTCAGAAGGTTATGAACTGTATGAGTTACGATGACTCAATTACTGCATGAGAGAGAGAGATAGAAAGAGAGAGAGAGAGAGGAGATGTGGGAGGCGAGCACTGCTCTCTCAATTCATTCGCGTTTATCTTCATGATGATCGAGGAGCTTCTGTCAGACAAACAACCCCAGATTCAATTAACGTTAATCGATCGCACCTTTGGATCTTCGTCGCTTTTCCTCGATGAATCAAACCGCCGGCGTCTCAGGTCATCAGGTCAAATGTCAGTCATCCGCCAAAAGCATCACAGTAAGTGTTTTTCACTGTTTTTTTTCAATGCACTGACAGGTTGTTTGGCGTCACACAACTAATCAAACACCGGTGATTAATAATAATTGAGCTGATGGGATTATCATGTAACACCGATTTGTTTTGTTGTACTTTTTTTTTTTTTACATGACGCACAAATGCAATGAAATCAGACCGATCAGATTTATCATAACGAATGCATGGAGTCAGTTGTAGCCTACATGATGGGATGCAGTTCTCCAATGCATTAACAAAGGTAACAATGTGAGTTTAGTGTTTGTTTGGTCATCTTAAAAGTCCATGCATGATTGACAGCTGGCATACAGTCTGCGAGAACTGATGTGATGCATGGAGGGGTTGAGTCCTCATGCACGAATCCGACTTCAGATTCTGAAAGTTTAGTTTTATTAATGAACTCTATACGGTGCAATTCGAGGTTCACAGTCACGGCATTCAAGAGGGGAGAAAACAGACACCCTGGAAATGTCACCCTTTTTTATTTAGATAGATAGGTAGATAGATAGATAGATAGATATATGCTTATTGTTCAGTTTAGTTAATTCTAACTGCAACTTTAGAGTGTTACTGGTCATTTTATTCTTGGATAGGCTACTATAGAATATCATGAACTTTCCCAATCCTAAACTAAGTTTTCTTCTCTAAATGGTCTGAAAAGTCTTGATTGTGTTTTTGAGCTCTAACAGGTTTTCCTGCTTGATCATTTTCCTCATATTCTCCATTGTTGCGGCTCCTCTCTTCCCAGTCTGTCAGTAACGCTCTGTTTAGTTCCTGTCTCTATGAAGCCCCTCCTTCTGAAAAGCACACTGTGCTCTGATTGGTCGGCTGGAGCAGTGTGTTGTGATTGGTCGAACACTTCAAGCGTGTCAAATTAAACTAACTTAGTTGAACTTAACAATAAACGTCAATAATTAAAACTCTTTATTTAGACTTGTAAATACCCTGCTATGCGTCATCTCTTTTTTTTTTATTGTGTAACATTATCTGAGAGATGTGTTTGTCAGAGCTGACAGTGTTGCCAGTCATGAGATTAACGACGAATAATCGGACTGATTTAATTTAATTTTCAATGTTATTTTGTGTATTTTTGCATTTACCACCCATTATTGTCAATCTAATCATTGCACTCAAACACGGAGGATATGATTTATTTACGATGATCAAACCACAGATATTTTTAAATAATCGTCTATGGACTGGAAATATTCCTTTATTTAAACAACTTCAATCCGATCTAATTATTGCATCATAAAGTGCATAAAAAAATTATATTTACATACATAATTAAATAACATTTAATATGTTTCCCCCCAAACCTTTAATCTAATCTCCCAAAATAGATTTTAGTCGTGATTTTTAATATTTTAATATTTGTCTAGTTCTAATGTTCTTTAATGTCGTAATATTATGACACCTTTTTTCAGTGTTTCACAATACTCTGATGATTGTAAACTGAGGTTGGTGTCTTTAGAAGAAGTGTCTGTGCTGAATTGTACATAAATAAGTCACAGGCATTGATACAGGCATGCAAATGTGCTCAGTGATCATTCATATTGCTGGCCTTTTACGTCTAGATAAGTCTGTGTGCAGGTAATTGTTGTTAGGAAGTCATAAACCGATCCTGTGTGTGTGTGTGTGTGGGTTCCTCTTACAGCAGTGCTGGAAATGAGAGGTCCACCAGTAACACAGCCCTCATCACTCTGTCCATCATCTCAAACGCACATTATACATTCACACAATGCAATTAGTATGGCACTAGTGTGTGTGTTTGTGTGCTCATATTACTTCAGAGAGGCTATCAGATATGCTTATAACAGGAGACTCAGGTTACACACTCACACAGAGTCATAGAAAGCATTGCAGCACTTCCCAATATTACACTGAAACGTGTCTCTGCCCTGATGATTTTTTTTTTATCTAACTTTTATTTAACCAGGAAAAGTCCCATTGAGTTACAGTAACTCTTCTCCCAGGGAGTCCTGGCCAAGACAGGCGGCAAAAAAATTAAAAAATAAAATAAAAATGACAGAGTCTTTCGTCTGCTGACTCGAGAACGTCGGACAAATAAGATGAAGAGAAGGAAAGTGACATTAGACGAACTGAAAGGACAAAAGAAACAGTTGTTTTGATGAATATAAGATAGATGATGTTCAGAACACAAATATTAGCTGAGTTCAGATGCATATATGTGTGACATTTCCAAAAAATACCATTTTTTGTAGTGACTTATATACATTATTATGTTCCAAATACTCCCAATGAAAATCCGGATAATGGTTCAAGAGTGACAGTCACATGCTGTGTCAGAAATGGAGTATTTTTGTAGTAAATATAGTATTTTTAGTGGCCAAAAGTGACGTCTGATGGGAATATTGTTTTTATATTAATTCATTAAACCATTGAAATATGTGGAAGATATCTTCTTTCTTTTTTTTTTGAGGGAACAAAACACTTGGTTAACATATTTATCTGACAAAAAAAGGCAGGTTTTATATTAGTATGCAAAACAAATGCATAGAAAAACAAGAAGCTCACAGGAAAAATAAACTTTGACTACGACATAATCAGTTATTAATATTTCGTTGGTTCTCTCTTGTTCATAATTTCTTTGACAGCCTTGAGAAAAATGATGTCGGCCCAATTTTTCATTGCGTTATTATCACTAATAAAAAAATTACTCCAAGCTTAAATACACAATATGCTTACAAAAAGTTCTTTCTACTCTTGAATTAATTGTGTTCACTAAACCATCCTGCATTCATTCTCTACGGTGAAATAACACCATTACTGCACCATAATCACATGGCAAACATCGAGTCACTTTATTTAGCAGCTGATTTGTGTCCAAGTGCGTTCATTTCACACAAGATGATTTCAATTTTACAAAACTGTACCCAGTATGTATTCATATTTGTTTCACCTCGTCCTTCTCCGCTCTGAAGTACCTATAAATGATTCATAACCATCACCTCTCTGGCCTTTACAGCCGCTGTGTCGAGTGTTGAGGTGCAAACACTGGAATGATGGTTTTGTTTCCCGTTATTGGTTTTATGGCATGTAAAAGAGGAATTAAAGATGATTGCTTGTAGATGATGTTGGTGGGCGGCAGCTCGCTAATGCACCGCATAACTCCACACGCACCCACGCAACACATGCACAAACATGCAAACACCACAGCGTTTGTGTAGTCCAGCGTCAATTCTTCCTTCATTTGATGTTGACATGGTGTCCAGCTGAAGGATGTTTACCCTATCACCAGTAAACCAGGACCACAGCCTAGTATTTTGTATGTTTATTGTTTAACACTGTTTATTAAAACCAAATTACTTTAAAGTCTCTATCAGGTTTGTGTAATTTTAAAGAGGACCTATTATGGCCTTTTTTTAAAGCTGCTGTCCGTAGCTTTTTTTGGGTTAAAAATTATCCAAAATACATATTTGATAAAATACATAACCAGCCAGTGTTCAAAACTATCTGCTTGCCTTAGCTCGATGCAAA